TATATAACTCGAATCAAATCAAATTGAAAGATTTTATAAAATAAATTTGACTCAACTCAACTCGAAAAAAATGAGTCGAATAGAGTTGATCTTTAAACTCGACTTGACTCGACTCATTCAGAACTCTAAGTAGACCCTATTTTTAGGACATATTAGTCAATAGTTTATAATGACTTAGGACATATTAATTAATAGATTATAATATCCTAGTACATATTAATTAATAGATTATAATGACTTAGAACATATTAATTAATAGATTATAATGTCCTAGTACATATTAATCTATAGATTATAATAATCTAGGACATATTAGTCTAGTGTAAGTGAGTTGTCCTAAGACATATTAATATATTAATATATTAATATATCTTAGGACAACCCACTCATGAGTTTTATTTTATTTTTTTTAAATTATTCATACATATTTTGAATTTTTCTGCAACGGAATTTGCATTTTTCCTTTTTTTATAAAAAAGATTCTGATTTACTACCAAAAAAATAGTACGTAATTTTTTTTTTTAATAAAAACAAATTATTATTTATAATACGCTATATATATATAAATATCATTATAAAAACTTGCATAAATCAGAAATTCTTAGGCATTATTTATAAAAACTTTTATACCATTTATTCAATTCATTAAATTGTAAAGGTGGTTATTCAAAAGACAATAATTTATTGTCACACTATCCTTACCAGGTTATTTTATGAGTGATTTAGAAAACTCTATTATAATTAATTTCATTTTTTTAATCAATACTATTTATTTTAATGCTTCAATAAATAAAGATGGATTATTTGTTAAAATAAATAAAAAAATTTTCCTGACATTCATAATATGATTTTTAATTGAAATAATTAGTTGAGCTAAAAAAAAGTATCATGCTAATATCACAATTTTAGGAACTTTAATAAAAAACAATTCTTCATAACAAATATCCCTTGAATATTTATTTGAAATTGAATCTGAATGTATAATTTGATTAATCTTAGATTTCAAATTATATGTGACCAAAAATCATGAAATTTACCATGCAGGACAAAGGAACTTGCCTTGTTCATTATATTAATACAGTAGATCGAAAATCAATTCAATCAAATGTACATATGGATCTCTTAGCTAATTTACCAATAAATATTATACCTGAATCAATATCACTAAAAGATATATTTCTGTTAATTCTAATATGAACTATACAAATTTTTTGTTCTAATTAAATCAAAATTTACAAATTTTTCTAATAAACCGGGTTTTATCGAGTAATATAAACTTGAATTTTATTAATCCATAATTTTTTTTTTAGAATTTCGTCCATATGATTTATTTGTTGGCTAAAGGAGGTTTAGCCTTTTTTTAGTATTAAATATTTTTAACAAAAAAGTTATATATTACTATATAAGGAAGGTAATTAATGTCAAAATTATATTATCAAGGGAGAGAATTCGCTCTTTCATATGAAATTAAAAACAAATAAAAGGTTGGTTTCATTGATTATTTTGTAACTTCTCGCTTTTTTTTTTTTTTTTTTAATAATATATATCAAAAAAATCAATCATGATTTTCAAATCTCGTTTTCCCGATATTGAAATTCCGAAAATTGGAGTTTATCAATACATTACGAGTAATCCTAGTGGAATTGATGATGAAAAACTCATCTTTGTTGATGCTATAACGAACAAAAAATTACCTTTCGGTGAATTTAAAAGGGATACAAAGAGATTTGCGGCTGGTTTAATTCATAAAGTCGGATTTAAACGTGGAGACGTTTTGGCCATTTTCTCTCTTAATCACGTAAGAATTATTCTTGTCTCAATAAATAAATATGATAGAGCGTCATTGCTAAAGGGTTGATACTCTATTTTTAGCTTGATTATTCGACAGCAGTCTTTGGTGCAATTGCAGCTGGTAGGTTATCAGGAGGAGGGTTCCGTTCCCACCAATAAATTCAAAGTAAAACAAACTTCTTCTTTTGTTAGGAGGAAAAGTCACTCCAATTAATCCATCATATAAGGTTAATGAATTCACTCATCAGTTAAAAGATTCTGACGCATCCGTCGTTATCGTTAATCCTTTATTGCTCTCAATCGCGATTGAAGGCGCAGCCGCAGCAAATTTTCCCAAAACCAAAATATTTTTGTTCGGTGAAGAAGAAATTAACGGAATTCAACCTTTCTGGTCTTTCATTTCTGATCAAGAAATTATCCCTGTTGAATTTACACCAGAAGAAGCGAAGTCAACTACTGCTTATTTATGTTATAGTTCTGGTACTACGGGAAAGAATAAAGGAGTTGAAACTACTCATACCAATATTGTATCAAATTTAGCTCAAATATCCGCTTTCGAAAAAGGATTTACTAATCAAACCTCTCTCATCGGATTTCTTGTAAATAAAACGTTTTTTTTTTTTTTGATTTAACTTAAAAAGAAAGAGATTTATAAATTTAACGCTTTATATATGTACTCTTGTCAATTTAGCCTTTCTTCCATATGTACGGGTTGACCTTTCTTATACACCTTGTTATTCTTAAGGTACTTAAAGTTTTGAATAGTTTCAATCCTGATACAAAATCATTTATCTCCACACGTATGTTTTGTATAAAGGGAGCTTCGTGTGTTATTCTTCCTAAATTCGAATTAGAGCTATTTTGTTGTGTAATTCAAGATTATAAAGTAAATTTAGCTACGCTTGTTCCACCTGTCGTTTTGCTCTTGGTTAAAAATCCCATTGCAAAGAAATATGATTTATCAAGTTTACAATTGGCTATATCCGCTGCCGCTCCTTTAAGTAAAGAATTAAGTAATGATTTTACTAAAATTCATAAAATTCCAATTAAACAAGCTTACGGTATGTATTGATTATTTTTTTTTTTTTATAATAGATAATTTGCTTATTTTATTTCACTTTTCTTTCTAGGCTTAACCGAAACGTCTCCAATTACCCATCTCGCAATGACTGATAACATTGTCAATGGTAAAACGCTGGATGCCATGTGTTTAAATTTGTAACTTATTTTAACTTATTGAACGTGTATATATATATTTTTTTCCGTAGGCTCGATTGGAATTCTCATTCCAAATGTGGAATGTAAAATAGTTTCAGTGGATGGTCAAGGTAATCAATTGAAAAAAAAAAAAATAATTTAAAGTAACAAAATAATAATAATAATAAAACCAAATAATTAAGAGCTCGGATATAATGAACCTGGCGAATTTTACGTTCGTGGACCAAATGTTATGAAGGTAATTTATATATAATTCAATGTACTGTAGATTAAATTAAATAATTAATTAATTAATCAATTTGTTTATTTTATAGGGTTATCTTAATAATAAAGTATCTACGGACATGTGTATTGATAAAGATGGTTGGTTTCATACTGGAGATATAGGATTCGCTGACCCTCAAGGTATATAAATTTAATTTATTCTCATTTATTGTAAAAGACTAAATATTAAAGGTTCAATCTCTCAGGAAATTTTTTCATTATCGATCGAGTTAAAGAATTAATTAAATACAAGGTAACAAAATAAAATACTAATTTTATATCATAAATAAAATAAAGTTATATTTATATGTACTCTGCTATAGGGATTTCAAGTAGCACCGGCCGAACTTGAATCGGTTCTAATCATTCATCCGTTAATTGATGATGCTGCAGTAGTTGGTGTATATTCCAACGACGGTGTAACAGAATATCCGGCTGCATTTGTAGTATTAAAAACAAATATCATTCAATCCGATCAGATAAAAGAAGAGATTAAAGAATTTGTTTCTCAAAGAGTCGCAGATCATAAAAGATTACGTGGTGGTGTTTACTTTATTGATCAAATTCCTAAAAGTCCCTCCGGTAAAATTTTGAGAAGGTTGTTAAGAGATAGAGTTAAACATATGTATATTTCAAAATTATAAATAAAAAATGGTAAATAAAGTGCAAAACGTCATTTTTAAAGAAATTATAAAATTTTTTGAATATTTTTTATTGTTTTAAAAAACGTTGTGATACAAAGTTAAGAATATTTGAAATCTTTAAACAGTGATTGCATTAGTAATGAAAGGTTTTGATGATTCCAGTTATCTCCAATTCTTTCTCTAATTTAATGATACGTCCTTCGTTATCATGATCATTATTAAGTAACATTGATTCACATAATGAATTTGCTTGGAAGGCTTTTACATCATTACTAATTGTGCCAACAGTAACGTGTGGAATTTTATTCTTACAAGGGATATGTTGTGGATCAAATCTATCGACGACAAGAGCCATAATTTGTGCATTTACAATTATCTTGTCGATATACAATTTTACTGGTTGACCACACATTGCTATACATTTTTTCCATTGCTCACTGGATAAATTTTTTTTTAATTCTTTACGATGAACGAGTGTAACATGAGATGTAGGTTTAATACGATCCCTTTGTACCAATTCCTTAAAGATTTCAGGTTCTTCTTGTAAATGTTCCTTAAAATACCTTGTAAGAAAATCTTGAACATTAAAGTCCAAAGCAATTCCAACATATAAAGCCGAATTAGCTGATTGAGATGATTGACGTTTACGGATTGTAGGCTTGTAATTTTTTATCTCGTCTAAAGCATTTTTAATCGCATCTTCACCAGGTTTTTCAATTCCAATGATGCCTTGTAATCCATCGATTACGATCTCAAGATTGGTTTTAATATCATTGGCAATATCTAAACAGATTACATCATCGAACTGGTCGTCCACGTTATTATTTGAATCCAAAGGTTGAAAGTCATGCAAGAACTTCCATATTACTCTCTCATAATCTGGATTTCCTGGAGTGAGAGACTGATGATTTTCTCCCCGAGTAATTATACGAGTAGATGTAATTTGAAAAATCTCTTGATCTGGCTGATCATGATTCCAATAAATAGCCACAATACGGACTTTTGGCCAAATTTCTTTCACAGCTTCTAACAAAGTTCTACGCAAGTCCTTAAGGTGATTGTTTCTGAATAAGGAAATAATTCGTTAGATGATGGCGAACCTGAAAATAGGAACATTTGTGTTTTTTTTTTACCTGTCCGCAATTACAACGTCGCGAGTCTTGAATGATTCATTAATGATTTTGTAAAATTCCAAACTTGGTTTCTTTACAACAATGTTATCATTTTGTATATGTACAAATGAAAACAGTTTAGCTAGAGCAACAGAGAGTACCGTCTTTCCTGTAGTCAATGAATATTTTAGTAAATAACATATAACCGGAACCTCACCATCATAATAAACACCTACCGCATCCGATTGTCCCAACTGGAACCAACAAGGTTTTGTGGTATTGTTGATTTTCTTCTATTGGAATTTCTTCGGCACCAAATTTATTTTTCCAATATTCCAAGAACATATCCCTAACGCGGAAAATTCCATGATTTTGTTGATACCCATTGAAAAGTTCAGGCTGCTTTATAATTCTTTCCTTGACCCATTCAAGATAATGTCTACTCAATGTATAAGTGGTTTTTGGGTTCCTCTTACTCAAAAGTGCTTTAGTAATTTCTCTCCATTCACGATACATAAGATACGGTTCATCATATTTAACTTTAAAGAAAAAATCTTGTCCTGAATTAGTTTTTGCTCTGATAACGAATCCTTCGATTGGAATACCGTCTTCCAATGATCCACTTTGTCTGATTTCTTTAATAAAGCTTTTAACTTCTGTTATAGATGGTTTTACATAGAAAGGAATCGAACGAAACCCCCATTCTTTTGCGAAATTTGCAACCATTTCACTTTGCCATGTTTTGAGGTTGACCGTATTTAAATTCATTCCATGAAGGTATAATCCACGACGATCTGGTGTATTATATGGTAACACGTGTTCTTCAAATTGGTCATCACATAACTAAGGATGGATCGAATGTCGTAAATAAAAGACACGAGCAAACATGATCATTGGTAAAAAAAAATCGCGTCAAATAAAGGACGTTATTCTTTTTACCTCTGCTACCGCAGTTAATCTATTTTCATACAAGAACCTTGCCAACTCTTGTTTAGTTTTACCCGCTCTTTCCAAATGTGTGTCAAGCCATTGTTCACCTACAATGGCATGGGCTACGGCATCTTCCCTTACACCCATTGAATGTTTACTTGTAACAAGAATATGATCCCCTGGAAGTCCACCAATGAATATGATACATCCATTCTCTTTGGATGTAATCTCGTAAGGTCCTAATGTATTCATTTCCAAATGTTCCCACTAGACATTAATTTGAGTATATTTTTATATAATTTGTAAATATCAACTAATCTTGATCAGGATCATTATGCAAATGAAAAAGACAAGTATACCGTAGTCTCGGACACCTCGCCGACATTAAAGAATTTATCGTAACCACGGATGATTATCTCATATCGATTTTTCACCTGTCTTGTAAATAACCCTCTTATTTTTGTGGGGGTTCGACCTTTTTTGTAGTCCCATTCATTCATTTTCCATGAAGAAACCGCGATCCCAGAGGGTTGGTGAACATAGTCATTTTTCTTAACCAACCTTTTAGCCCTTTTTTTCCCTAGTTTTATCTAGATTAGAAAGGGTAGTAATTAATTCGTCAGCTTCTTGTAGATCTTGTTCAGTGACTTTCATTATTAATTGAATCAATGGTTGCGGTATTCGGCCTTTTTTATAGTTAATTTGCCTGACTGCGGTTCCGCAGAATCCGCAGTATATGACTCGGTATATGACTCATCGACTCAAGTAAACGAATGACATGTGACTGATTTAAAAAAGATGAGCGCCACTTCCAATTCTTCGTGTAGATTTTTTTATTTTGTCATTATGAGTGACAAACTTACGAGAATTGCAATTGTTAGTTCGGATAAATGTAAACCGAAAAAATGCAGGCAGGAATGTAAAAAATCCTGTCCTGTTGTTAGAATGGGTAGGCATTTTGACACGCGATCTAAGTTAGTTTCGGGAATTTAAGTTCAATTGAACTAAAAATTTCAAATTATAACCACGATTATCTTCTCGCAGGCAAGCTTTGCATTGAGGTGTCTCCGAATAGCAAAATTGCCTTCATTTCTGAGGAATTATGTATCGGTTGTGGTATTTGCCCCAAGAAATGTCCATTCGGTGCTATTATGATTATCAATCTTCCCACAAATCTCGAAAAAGAAGTCACACATCGTTATTCTGCAAACTCTTTCAAACTTCATCGTTTGCCTGTTCCTAGACCTGGACAAGTTCTCGGATTGGTTGGTACTAACGGTATTGGTAAAAGTACAGCACTTAAAATTTTGGCCGGAAAATTGAAACCTAATCTAGGAAAGTTTGAAGTAAGTATTCTTTATTCACTTTATGATACGTTTTCGCGTTTAACATCGGATTGATCAGTTAAATTCTTATTTTTCTTAAGGATCCTCCGGATTGGCAAGATATTTTAAAATATTTTCGTGGATCAGAATTGCAAAACTATTTCACAAAAATTTTGGAAGATAATTTGAAGGTAATGATTTAATTTCATTTTTAAAATTTTTTTTTTATATTGATCTTATTTCATGTGAGTATAATAGGATTATTTCATTTTGAAATCAGGCAATTATCAAACCCCAATATGTAGATCATATCCCAAAAGCTGTCAAAGGGACAGTTACTGATTTGATTGATGCTAAATTGGAAAGAGATAATAAGAAAGATATGATTAGTGCTTTAGATCTACAAGACGTATTGAACCGTCAAGTAGTTGATCTATCTGGTGGAGAGCTACAGCGTTTTGCAATTGCTGTTGTGTGCATTCAAAAAGCAGACATGTAAGTTTTATAATCTACCTTATTAGAAAGGATTGGGTAGTTTTTAACTCATTACCTTGATTTAGTTACATGTTCGATGAACCATCATCGTATTTGGATGTCAAACAACGCTTGAATGCTGCTAGAACGATAAGAAGATTATTAGGCCCGAGCAGGTATTTTATTATATTATTATTATTGTTATTTTAAAATTTAAATAGTTCCAATCTAACTTAATTTTTGCATTAAAGTTATGTCATTGTTGTAGAGCATGATTTATCGGTTTTGGATTATCTTTCCGATTTCATTTGCGTGCTATATGGTATGCCCTCAGTATATGGTGTAGTTACTATGCCTTTCTCGGTTCGTGAAGGCATTAATATATTCTTGGATGGTAAGGTGCCAACCGAGAATTTAAGATTCCGTGAGGAATCTCTAACATTTAAACTAGCAGAAACTGCCGAGGATGAAAAGGAAGTAGAAAAGCATAGAATATATAAATATCCCGATATGACAAAAACTTTGGGTAAGTATTTTAAAAATGAACTTTAACTAGTTTAGATCTATGACTTATAAAAGCTCTTGCATGATCAATAGGTGATTTTCAATTGACTGTTAAATCTGGCGGATTTACGGATTCTGAAATTATTGTTATGCTTGGAGAAAATGGAACCGGTAAAACAACGTTTATCAAGCTATTGGCTGGTGGAATCAAAGCTGATGGTGAAGAACAAGTACCTGAATTGAATGTTAGTTATAAACCACAAAAGATTTCACCAAAATTCCCGGGATCCGTGCGCAGCCTATTCCTTAAAAAGATCAAAAACATGTTCATGCATCAACAATTTCAAACCGATGTTGTGAAGCCCATGCAAATTGAAAATATCATTGATCAAGAAGTCGCAAGTTTATCTGGTGGTGAACTTCAACGGGTAGCAATTGTGTTGGCGTTAGGTCAACCTGCAGACATTTATTTGATTGATGAACCTTCTGCATATTTGGATTCTGAACAACGTGTTGTTGCGGCTAAAGTCATCAAACGGTAGATATGTCGTTTAGGATTGATTATGTTAAGTTTTAAAACGGTTTTATTGAAGGGGTTTTTTTTTTTTGTCTATTTTTTTATTTTAGGTTCATTCTTCACAACAAGAAAACAGCTTTTGTGGTAGAGCACGATTTCATTATGGCTACTTATTTGGCGGATCGTGTTGTTGTATATGAAGGCTTACCATCTGTAAAAGCTATGGCAAATACGTACGTTAGAGTAATGCGCACTGTTTGCAATAAGTGATCGTTTATAAACGCACTTTCATTAATTAATTAATCATCTATTTATTTGTACATTTTTAGCCCGCAATCTCTACTCTCAGGTATGAATAAGTTCCTTGGGTCTCTCGAGATTACATTTAGACGGGATCCAACTAATTTTAGGCCAAGAATAAATAAAGCGGATTCTATGAAAGATAAAGAACAAAAATCAAGTAAGTGATGACATTTGTAATCTATCATATTACGTATATTGGATTGGATTGATTTAAATTTATTTGAATTTTTTTTCGAAATGATAGGTGGCAATTATTTCTTTTTGGACAATGAAACTTAAAAAAAATATATATATATTAATAATATAGTTTGATAAAAAAAATTTAATTGTTCACAAAAAAAATGTTGGTAAAAAATTAAAAGCACAGAGAAATTTGTTATGCTATTATTTTTTTACTATAATATTTAAAATAAATTTATTAAAAAAAAATAGAATATTTCTTTCTTAATAATTAAAAAATATAAATCATATTATTATATATTATATTTTTGTGTACACGTTTTTTTGTTAAAATTGATCACTTGAACTTTATGATTTATCCTAAAGCAATTGGAAATTTAAAATAAAATTCCAGAATTTTTCAAGATTGAATTTGTTATTTTCTCATAAATACGATAACGATAATGCAGAAATAAATGAATAATCGCTTTTTTTTATTTCGGATACGGATAATTCATTTTCCGAGTGGGTGATCGCGACACCGGTGATCAATCGATTCATGGTTTCTCTGGTTTTGTCTAAAGGTTATTTAAAAATTATAATTTTATTAAGGATCATAAAATTTGTAATAAATAAGTTTCTAAACTCGCCTTAAAGTATAATACTTCATCAAATTCATTATCGAACTAATCTTTTAAAGATTAAGATGTTCTTTGAACGCTTGAGCTCGACTAAATGAATGATAATACGATATCAAGATTCTTTTTGAACATTTTGTTCGTGACTAACACGCGATTCGAACTTTCAAAAATATTTAAAAGTTGGAAATATTAAAAAATATTTAATATATTCCAAATAGAATCTATTTGATTTTTAAATTTCTTATTTACTGATGAATAATTTAAAAGTTACGTTCTTTCATACTCGTAACAAAGAACATTACCATTATAAATTATCATTATTTCCTCGAAAGAAATAAATTAAAAAGGACGCGATTATTTTTTACATTGATCCGTATAGCCAATTCCTGATTTACTACTGTTACATAAATAAAAAATTTCACTTTCCGCAGTAAATCAGCAAATCCTACCAAAAACAAAATGTCATGTAATACGTAACTAAATGGATAATCGAAAATGCCTTGTTTTTTGATTGTTTTTCATCCTCAAATATGGGAGGTTTGCTATTAAAATCACGTTACGGATCATATGATTTACTATGTTCGTATGATTTTAATAGCAAACCTCCCATATCTTTACATTTCCTACTTTTTTTTTAATGCGTTTTATTCGGAAGCGCACATTTAAACTAGCAACCTATAAGTGCACCAAATTCACAAACCGGTGTCTCAAATAAGCCCACGTGACTGTATTTTGACCTCCTCGACCATTAAAACGAGTCTAGCCTTACTAGTATGACTATAGCTTCAATGAGAAACCTAAAAGGACTAAAATTAAGGAAACAGTAACGAAATCTATGTACGAAAATATATACTGCGGAAAATCACGCGATCCTTCTTCCCGGATAATTGTCTTATCATCGCGATCGATTCATTGAAATCATACACCGTTATGGCGTATCTAATAAAGCGCAAATGACAAGCAAAAGAATTCTCTCCCCATTCCGAATGCAAATATAGGAAAACCTACGTTATATCAAGATTCCATAATTTACTCAGAGATTTATTCAACAAATTTTAGACACCAAAAAATCCAAAATAATATAGTAGCACCGCTTTTAACAATCCAACGCTAACTCCTTCTTGAACTTTATTACTCACTTACTAATCAATGTTTAATTAGCATGTGAAGTTCCATCGAACCAAATTTATTTGTTATTACAATTGTTAACTCGAAGGGCGAAATTTATTTTCTGAGCCTTTTTTTTTTTAACGCGTTTATTATAATGCATTTGAATTTTTGCTAACTAAAAAGAACCTTTTACGGTATAAAATGAACCGGATAATAGCATTACGGGAAATTTTCTTATTTGTATTATTTGCACAAGTGAAAATAATTTATCCCGTTGATTAAAAAAGATGATTTTCAATTTTTATTGGACGAAATCATTAGTGTTTACTAATGTGAAATGCGAATTTTGTAAATCAATTTATCACATGAAAGTTTATAAATAAAAGCTCGATTTTTATCATTTTCATCATCATCATCCTACCTTTTAATGGAACAACCTCCTATTATTTTACATCATTACCCAGGTATTATATAAATTTATTCGAATTTATTTGGATGACTTGACCTTTATTTTATTTTTATATTTCTTTTTAAGGTTCGGGGTTTTCCCAAAAGATTTTGTGGGCATTGGACATAAAGAAATTACAATGGACTTCAGTCATTGTACCTCAAATCATGCCAAGACCGTAAAACTTCTCTTTTATTTATTTTAAAAAAAATTTATTCTTCGTTCTAGTATTACTTTTTTTAACGACAATCATTTGAATTTCTTAGATTGTTGCAACCGTTAACTCATGGGTACAGACGCATTCCGGTTCTTCAAATCGGATCAGATATCTTTGTTGATACTGCATCGATTATTGAAGAATTAGAACGAAGGTTAATAAAAAGATCGATTTATCACATCCGATTTTGTTTAAATTAAAAAAAAATATTTATTATTATAGATACCCGGAACCAACTCTTTTTCCAAAAAGAAATGGATCCGATAAAAGTGACAGGGGACTGGGCTTAGCCATATCCATGTGGACAGATGTAAAAATTACTTTCTTCATATATAATTTTTTTTGTATTCTACTTTTCTAATTTCGTCCTGTACTTTAACATGTTTTAGCGTTACTTTTTGCCTAGCATTTTAGGGATATTTCCATACGATTCGAAAGATCCTTCAATGCCAAAACTTTTCTCTTCAAAAGAATTCAAAGAAGATCGATCTTCCTTATTGGGAACACCAGTTAAACCCGAGATACTTTTACAGGCACGACCATATAACGTTGATAAAATTAGATCCAACTTTGAATGGGTCGAGCTACAATTTTCGGATGATGATAGAGAATGGTTCTTAGATACGCCATATCCAAGCATTTTTGATATTCACGTAGCAACAAATATTTGGTTTTTAGGTGTTATTCAAGGTGCAAAAGATGTTTTAAATCCTAATTTATATCCGAAAACTTATTCTTGGTACAGCAAATTTTTAAAATATGTTAAATCAAATGGGATCAAACCGAAAAAGATTAGCGGTGAAGAAGCGTTAGAGATTGCTAAAAAGTTTAAACCTTTAAATGGTGGGGAAAGAAAAGTTGAGCAAGATCAAAAAGATGCTACAAGAAAGTTAGGGGATAATGTTGCCATACAACCGGATGACTATGGTAAAATTCCTGTTAAAGGTAAGATTGTTAGTTTAGGAGATAGGATTATTGGGATTAGACCTCATGACGTTGATAAAACTGGGTTTGAGGTTGTGATTTGGTTTCCAAGGGCCGGTTATAGGATTAAACCAGATAACGGGAAGTTGTGATTGCTTTTAAGAAATTTACGCGAGAATTTTAAGAACATCAAATACGTCTTCATTTACTGTATTTATGAACGCGTCAAATGTTTATAAAAGAATAAATAAATAAAATATATGAGGTTTTATAACATCATGTTTTTGTTTTCAAAAAATGTCCCAATTAATTAATCACGTGTGTAGTGCTGGTAAAATAAATAAATATACAGTCAAACCCCACTCTTGGGATCATAGTGAAAATTTAAAAAATGTGCATTTAAAGAGGGTGTGCATTTAAAGAGAAAATTTCAATATGATATCTATATGCTTGGGACTGCATTTAGAGAGGTTGACTGTATATCGATATATATCGTGATTGTTTCTTTTAATCCTTGATATTATTTTATTATATTGTTCTGTATTTTTTTTTTTTTTTTTTTTTTTTTTTTTTTTTTTTTTTTTTTTTTTTTTTTTTTTTTTTTTTTTTTTTTTTTTTTTGGTTTGTTTTATTTATTTATTTATTTTTATTTATTTTTTTAAAAAAAAAAGAATTATTAATTCAACAATCTCTAATGGTAGATTAATAACAAATCTGCACCCACGCAAAGAAAAAAATAATCCGTATTAAAAATAAATTGGTTAATTTATGCTCGTTTTACATTTTTATTTTTTTTTTTTTTTTCAGGAAACATAATTTCCATGTTACATTTCACCTGATTGTTCATGTATATTATAAGAATGTTTTTTGTTTATCATGTTACAAAAAGAATTTATTGGGTTAGAATATAGGTAAAACTTTATTATAACGCGTTCAAATTTTACCACGATCCTTAAAGATTTTTCCCCATTGATTGGGTTTTTTTTATTAAGCCAGAAATAGAGTTTGGCAGAAACAGAAGGCGTAATTTTTTTTTTTTTTTTATGTTGGCAAAATAGAATAATATTATCATAAATTTCCTTAATAAGTTTAATATTTTCGTGTAATGACAACAACATCCAGGAAATATTCAATTTCCTTTGTTGGGTTCGTTTATTTTGATTGACATTCAAACCTTGATTTTTTTTTCCTCGTGATCTTCTCTACCCTTCCGTCATTTCTATTGTTTGAACCATACCTATGAATTACTATTTTAAGTGATCTCTTTTGTCTTTCTTATTGTTCTTTTTCTCTTTTTTTTTTCTTTGTTTACTCTGTGATCAATCAATTTATGTGAAGTTACTTCATTGATTTATAAACATGTAAGCTGATGCGGGATATTATTAATTGTTCCCGCGATTCCCAATAACGGTCATTATAAAAAAAGAAGAGAGAGAAAAAAAAAAAAAAAAAAAGAAATTTATGGATGTGAGAAGGTTGTTTGAAACACGAACCTTTTTTATTTTATTTATTTTTTTTTTTTAAAAAAAAAAGCGGTAAGACCGGATTCAATTTCAAGTAAGATCAAAAGCAGATCCTTCAGAAACTTTTTCTTTTTTTTTAGTTTTTCCTAAATATAAAAGTCGGTCAGACGCATGAGACTAAAATAGTGGTTTTTTTTTTTTGCTTGGTCCCCTAAAAATAATCGTTTATATAAAGCAAAATGCATTATGATGACCATCAAACAGATCTTTAATTCTAAAGTAAATTGATTTACAGTGTAAGGATCTATGATGAAACATTCCGGTTCATTTGATTTAAAAGAGGATTCAAATAGAATGGGGTCATATGACGATCCAAATCCCGTTGTTGAACGATCGAAAAAAAGAAAAAAAAGTGAAGGAATGAAATGAGAATGAAATAAGAATAAGAAGAATAAAAAAAAAAAAAAAAAGAAAAAAGAAAAAAAAAGAGATGACTATGATTATTATTATTTTTTTTTTTAATTATTTATTATTTTTTGTTATTATTATTATTCCTCATCTGAAAAAAAATAAAATAAAAAAAAATTTTACGATTTACAAATGGGAGGCGGCAAATGAACACTTTGTGATAATATCAACAACATTTTCATGCAGTTTAATTTAAAAATTAATTAAAACAAATTTCGTAAAATTGTTTGGAGATGAAATCAAAGTCGTAATTGTCCAAAGTTTCATTTGTGACTACTGATTTTTTCCGTTTACGCTAATTCCGAAGAAGTATTTTATTTTTTTTTATGTGTCATACATCATTCACGAGTGATCTCTCACCATTACCAGTTTAGAAACAACTTGACGAGAAAGATAAAGAGATCGATCGACATTTGGACGAGATTGTCGATGAAATAATAATATTGATTCTAAAAAAGGATCGAATTTGTTGATTTTGTTTCAACTTAATGAAAACTAGTAAGGCATACAAAGCTGTGGTAATCAAAAAATCAAATTTTATCTCTCTTGTTTGTTACATCATTTTTTTAACTAGGGAAAACGTTTGAATTTATTATCTAATATAACGAGTGAATGACGCAATATAAGACATATAATTGGTTGAAAGATTTAAGCTCTAGTTTTAACTTTATTTTATTTTATTATTTTATATATTATTTTATAATTTTTTTATTTTTTTTTTCTCTCCGGCCAAACCTATCGCTATCATCTGTCATTCAGCTTTCCGTTTATTTTTTTTTTTTTGTTTTTTTTTTTTGCTGTTAACCACTAAGATCAGTGGAAACGCCCATATGTTGGATATAATGCAGG